ACCTGCAGGTGCTTGTCGGGGGCTCTCACCTGCAGGGGCCGATGTGGGGAGGCTCTCACCTGCAGGGTGCTGATGTGGACAGGAGTCCCTGTACCGTTCACTGTGCTCTTCTTGGCCGCGCTCCCGCCCTTCCCCTCTGCTTGCTCCGCCTTGGCGATTCTGGCCTTCTCAGCCTCGACCCTCTTGGGGTTGTTCAGCATCACCTGGACAACGGCGTACTCCACCAGGGACGCAAACCCGAAGAGCAGGCAGGCGATGAGCCAGACGTCCAGGGCCTTCACGTAGGACACCTTGGGCAGCTCTGCAGCCAGCGTGGTGCACTCGGATGCCAAGCTGAGCACCGAGAAGATGCCTGCGGGACAGACAGGGCTGAGGGCGTGCCGGTGCAGGGACATGTCCTGCCATCCTTGCTCTCAGCCGCCCCCAGTGGCTCTCGGTGCTCCGTGCTCAGACTGGACGCAGTGAGGGGCACGCTTTCACGTGGGCGCTATTGACGGGGTTGGGACTGCATGTGATGGTGCTGCTTAAACAGGGACCAGGGAGCAGGGGACGCAGCGGGCACATCGCTGAGCTCCCGTATGGCCAGCTGCCATTCGAGTCTGAACCCTGCGACATGAAACATGTCGGGCGTGCATGCCCCAGATACCGAGAGGAGCACACAGGAGAAAGGATTGTGGCATGGCCATCCGCCCAGGAAGTGATTTCTCACTTTTTGTCTCTCTGTCTCTCTCACCATGCCCTATAGCAAAAATCTCTCTAAAAATAAATAACTGAATAAACAGAAACTTAAGCCAAGCTCAGAACTCAACTCAGATCTGCTTCTTCATAGTGTTACCCAGTACCCTACCATGCTGTGGTGCACCTGCGACACCTCTCAGGTCCTGGGGTCCCAGATGCGGCCTCCATGCCCAGCCTGCAACTCAGGCCAGGACCAGCTGGCACTGCCCCTGTGGCCCAGCGTGCAGGGCCCAGAGCCAGGCCTGCACACTATGGCCAGGCCTGGATCTGTCTCAAATACTGACGCACCTAGGACCACCCCGCAGTGACTCTGGGAAAGGCGCAGAGCTCTGGTCCCAGGCTTATGCCATCTCTCATCTCCGTCTTAGAGTTAGTTCAAAGCTGACTGTACTCCCGTGAGTAGCTAAGTCGCAAGAATAGGGCATCTAGAGCATTTTTCTGATAAAGTTCACAATAAAAACTGTAGCAAAGAAGACAAAATAGACAATGTTCCTAAATATTCCAGGGAAAACAAAGTATTCCAGTTTCTGGGGAGAAAATAAATTCTGCTCTGTGTCATCTCAACCATGCGTGCAAGGCTAACGCACTATGTATCAATTTGAGCAAAGTAACTGCAAAGCTCCGAAGAAAAACTGAAATAATGTCGTACAGTAGTGTGTCCATCTTGTCCAAGTTACAGATAACAGTTGTACACCTCCATGTGCGTTTCAAGGTGCCCCAGCCGTGTGGGCAGGTTCCGGGCTCTCGACCCCAGGTCTAGGGCACCCCAGCCGTGTGGGCAGGTTCCGGACTCTCGACCCCAGGTCTCCAGTGCACAGCAGGCCCTCACACGCCCATGATCCTGGCTGGCAGAGGTGGGGGTGGATGATGGTGTGATGACCTGTTGGGATTCTGTCTGTCTGTCTCTCTTTCTCTCTCTCCCTCTCTGTCTCTCTCACATGAAAAAAAACTTAAAAAATGAACAAATACAATAGATTAAATTAGCTCTAAAGGAAGTAAAATCAAAACTTCTCCAAATGAGTCAAGGTTAAAGATGAAGTTGTGCAGCTCACTGATAAACGCAGAATTCTACAGTGATGAGGTCATCTGAATTAGTCAAAACAAACATAAACAAGGCCCGCGACTGTCTGCGGGTGGACAGAGCTTTCTGTTCAGTCGCTCGCAGAGAAGAGTCTACAGAACAGTTCCTTCACCGCAGGTACAGCCGCAACTGCTGATCCAAGACGGGAAGCAAGAACTGGAGAGCAAAGTTAAGAAATAAGCGAAAAAGGAAGAGCGAACTTGGAAGGGCACAGGTGAGAGATGGAAGTTCGAGGCGGGTGGCCTTTCTGACCACAGATAGAAGCAGCGGGTCACAGTGGTGCAGGCCAGCCGCCTCCTACGCCCCAGTGGCCTGGCTGGGGCACGGTGTGGCACTCCCAGCAGAGGCCACGCACAGCGGACGCCGTGTGGCCGCGGTCGGCCAACGCCTCCCCAGGATGGGCGCTGCTCCCAGACAAACCTGCTTTGCTCCGGCAAGGACCAGTCCCCCCTTCCTGGACCCACCC